GCATGCCATGCGCACTGCGGATGAGGGGGCGGAGGCGATTGCGGTGGTGGTGGCGCTGGCTTTGTATGTAACCGCCCACCCACAAGGGGCTGGTGCATGGAGTCCTTTATTTATTTTGCACATTTCGAAGACGACCGCCGCACGCGCGTGATAAATGACATTAATCCGCCATGTTCACTGATTCGAGTGGGCAAAAGCCCTCGGCTAGCCAGACTGGCCGCAGCTAGCCTCGGGCCTATTATGCTGTCGTTTCCTGCGCCCCCTGTATTTGTATTTGTTTCGTTAATAGTCCGACTCACAAGTCTGCACAGCTGATAAGACAAGTGGCTTTGGCGCTTTAGCATGTAGGCACAGGTATGCCAAGCAGTCAGTCTCTTGGCCAATTCAGTCATTAATATTCATTAGGGGGCGCTGCTTGGAAATTCATATGCGCCCAGGAGCTTACAATAGCTGCAAATCATGTGTGCCACAGAAATTCTCAAAAGTTATTTCTCTACCATTTCGAAAAGTTGCTTAAAAACACAAAAAATATATATATATATATGTATACAAAAATTAAATATACATGACTAACGATTCAGGGAAGATTAATTAATCTAAAAATCTATTTTTAGAACTTTTAACTTCGATAGAGTTTAATATTTTTCGGAGAATAAAGTGAAATCTTTGAAGATAATATTTGTATTTTGCAACAAATTAAATATTCCTACATTTTCACTCCTTTTTTCCCGTTTCTCCTTTTTCTTTTTCGACTCATCTCAGTCACATGCGAATTTTCGCTAACACCAGCGCAAATAATTGAAATTTCCATATGAAAACTTGGCGAAATTCTTGAGAGATTGTTTTAGGCAACCTGTTCCCATAAATTGATTTCCCATAAACTGGTTGAATCGTAGGTGTGGGCGGACTTGCGGGCCCCGCCCAACTTCCCCGCGCACATTGCAGCGCTCAACGGCACCTTTGAAGCTTTACACGCTTCGCTGTTTCGCCTTTTGACGACTTTGTCCTCGACTTGGCAATCATTAATTTATCAATCTGCGAGCGCTTTGGGAGCGCATGAAAATTTTTAGCTGCCGCGCTCACGACTTTTTTTATGTGCTTTTTTATTATGATTATTTCTTTCTTTTCGCTTTTGGGCAAAAACAAAAATCACATACGTGTCGTGGTTATAATGTGCGTGGATTGCAAATGCCCTAGGCCCGCACCGACTTGGAATTGGGGGAGAGGGGGGTTGGGCGGTGCTGCGCTGCGCTGCGGCTAGGGATGGGCGCTTGTTGCTGCTGGCTGCCAAAATAAAGTCAAGAATCAAATGTTTTTGATATCGACTTTGACAGCTTCATGACAGCGCTCAATAAATTTTGATAACGCTGCTAAAAGAGTCGGCGCCACCAAGGAATTGAAAAGGCAAGGAAAAAAGTCAGGAATCACAGTAGCCCGCACACACACACACACACACACACACACACACACACACACACACACACAGAGATACAGATACACATGCCCGCTAGAGAGAGACACGAGGAACATAAAAAAGCAAAACAAAGTTTCACACAAAGCTGAAAGTTGCTGACAGCTCAGCTCAGCTAAATTCAGTTCGATTGACTACGTGTGTGTGCATGTGTGTGTGCATGTGTGTGTGCATGTGTGTGTGCATGTGTGTGTGATTTGATTTTGTACTCTAAGCCTTTAGGTGTTTATAGCGCACAACAACGCGTAATTGCTTAGCGGCAAATGCCATTGAATAATAAACAAGCCATCTGAAGAGCTCTGACAGCGGCGCCATCGTTTTGTTTATGAGCAATTAATATGCTTGCCTTGAGTTCGGCCAGTAAACAATGCCGAGCATAATGAATGTCAGGCTATTGAATGCAGCCAGCGGTGGACAACGCGACTTAGCCAAGGCCAAGCACACAGCCATCAATTATGGCCTAATGATAGTTCATCCTGTCCAAATGCAATTTCCCAGGCATAATTATCGGGGGATTTCGAGCGTAATTAATTCGTTTACTACTGAGCAAACCACTTTCGTAAATTAATAACTGATTTCATAAATTCATATCGCCGAGAGAGTTTCACTTTGAATTAACTAATTCCTTTAGCACAGGGCTGGCCATTGATGGAATTAGGCATAGAAGTCAATTGCTAGAAGTAATTAATTAGACTTTTACGTTACCATAATTTACAGATGTAAAAAGCAAAGAAGGATTCAATATTAGCTTGAAGTATGTTGACCCCCGCATGGGTGCACAACAATAGTTGGCACCAGCCGAGCATCATCAGGAGAGCTCAATCAGAAATGATTGCAATTTCGATTTGCTTCCATGCAAGTTGCGCTTCACTGAGCCGTAAACTCTGCTCTCTTAATAAACAAAAATATGAATATATCAAATATTTTTCAACATATTTCTGCACACCCACAATCGTAAGTCTACCAACCCATCGACCCATCTATTTTGTTGGCTCCTTAAAAAGAAGAAAAGTATATCACAAATTAAAAGCAATCATATGCCAGACATCAAAATGAAATCCAAACACTAAGCCAAAGTGCGCGTAATTTTATTTATTTATTGATAATTTGCAGCTCTGTCAGACGCAGTCACACTCACACACACACACACCCACACACTCACACACAAATACAGAGAGAGGCAGGCACAGTCACACAAGCAGAAATTGAACATATTTTATATCCAAGCATGAGCGCCACAAACAATTTTTACGCGTATTTAGGCGCTTTGGGGTTTCATCTGCGGATTTGTTGTTGTTGGTCGATTGGCATATTTGATGCCATCGAGTGGCAGAAATAATAAAAAGTGTGATTTAACTTTGATGGATGACAAATGCGAGGCTGCCTTTTGATCAGCCTGATAATGCTGACACAGGCAGATGCCGCTCTCACAGCAGCCACGCCCCTCGGCCCCCTCGCCCCCCACACACGCACGGTCTGAACGAAAATTTGTCTATCAAAGAAAATGGCGTTTGGGAAAAAGAAGCGAAAGCGTTTATTCATTGCATTTAATGAAATTTTTTGTTTGATTAAGTTCTGTCCTACTTGCAACTAGCGTCCTCCAGTACTCCCACGCATTTGCTTGATATCTGTGCTGCGTACGACGTGACGTATGCGTAATGTGCGTAAATGTAATCTAATAAATTTTAAAAACATATTTTTGCATAGAAAGCTGCACATTTATACATATATAGAGCATGAGCCATACATATGCCAATTTTCTTCTAAGTGCACGTCCCACTTGATCGCTAACAAATACCAGATATCTCATGCCTAGCGATGTGTGAGTCAGCCTCACTTACACAAATTCCCACCCACCTCTTACCCTTGATATTTATGAAAAATGTACCGGAAGAGCAGACGTAAATACATGTTTATTTATCTATTTATTTTAGTTGCAAATGGCAGCACGTCGCGAAAATATTATTCACTTTAGACGCCGCTTTTAGCGCACTTTGCGCTGCCCTACAGTAAAAACAAAAATGTGCGTTGAGCTCTTAGTTCTATGACATTCAACTGAACCAAAATAAAATAAATTCGTTTCCAAAAATAATTATATACCTTAAAGATAAAGAACCAAGGCTTTTTTTAGAGTTTTTGGGAAAAGCTTAACTGAGTTTCTCTTTCGCTGCGGCATCTCTCATTGCAAACGCATACCGTCCTAGAAACCATATAACCGGAATACTAGGAAAAGCAGCGTATCAAGGCCTCATCGTGCGCCTCCCTATGCGCTTCTCAGAACAACAAAAACAGCTGCCTGACATACGCTTACAGCACACAGGCGCATACATACACACGCACATACACGTTACGCAAAGAGGAAATTATTTTTTTTTTTTTTAGCTCTACCTTCGCATTTTTCTTTCTGCCGCTTTAAATGTAAAACACGTTGAAAGAGTTGACAACTCGAATGCTGCTCCCTAAAGCACTAGAGTTCCCAGGCTTCATCAGCTCCCCCAAAAGCAGCTTACAAATACGGCCAAGTCATTTATATGCAAGTCAAGCGTTTGCCAAACTTTATGTGAAAAATTGACGCCGGTTACAAAGCAGCAGCAGCAGCAGCAGCAGAAGCAGCACAAGCAGATGAATGTCTGGCAAGGGGTTGCCAAAGAGTGCAGGCCGACGACTGAAAGGTGTCGACAACATGCACGTGCATGCATTTAAAAATGTGCCATGTGCCGTGTGCTTTTTAATTTTCCCCAAATAGCTGAGCATAATTTATAAAACATACTTCTGTCAGTCAAAAGCAGAGAGCGAAATATGCTAATAGAGATGTACCCAGAGTGGGGCACACAAGCATAGGTGCTGGGGGCAATTACACGTGCCGTGCGAAATGCTCTCACCCTGAAATTATGCCCCATTACAGCTAACAAAACATTTATGACCTTTTGGGGTGTCATGATGGCATCAGACCATATGAGACTTTTCGGTTGAAAAGTGCTGCCCCTGGCTGTTACTTACTGTTACTGTAACTGTTACTGTTACTGTTACTGTTACTGTTACTGTTACTGTTACTGTTCCTGTTA